TGTATGTATCATATGTGCATTTACTGTTCGATATCTGCCGATTTGACTGATCGAGACATTTGGTAGCACTCGCCGCTGTTTGCCCTGCTAATGCTTTTTGGCAGTTTGGCTCATATTTTACTCAAACTGACACATTTCGTTCGCTCACTCGTTCGTTTAATCGTTCGTTCGTTCGTACGCTCGTTTGTTTGCTCCACCGCCATTCTAACATTTTGACTTTTGTTATTCGACCGCAAAATTTATGATCGTCATTTATGGTACGAAATGAACGACCTGCGGTGAGATAAAAATATATAATAATAAAGAAATCCAACTAGACAATTAAGATAGAGCTTAACTGATTTTGAGTCATTAAACAATGAAAGGAATATTTAAAAAATGAACGAGACTAAAGTGATTAATGTTCAAAGATTTTTATTTTCCAATGAATGCGTACAATAAATGATTTAATATCGCGTTATTTGTATAAATTTCAATGTTGATTGGAGTATAAAGCTTTTATGCTTCTGCTGAGAGGCCAATAAATATGTATCTTATAGAACCATGTCTGCACCAGTACCTACAAGGCTGTAATATATCTGGAAAGGTGTTTATATCGGCTCGACGGCCAATGAACTGTAATAACTGTGTAATGGACAAAAGTCTGTGCATGGATTTTCTTTGCATTCATTATTTTTATTATTTTTTTTAATAAGTAGTAACAAAACCGGGAGAACTTTTACCATAGAGTAATGTGATACTAAGACATTTGCCTACATATGACGGAACTTCTTCTGCTTTTCCAAAAATTGTTAACCCCACAATATTTGCTTTAACCTCTAAATTTTTAAAAGATTTTGTGCGAATTTTTTTTGCCAGTACTAAACTGGAACATTTGAGATTGTCTACCGAAGCACCGTTATTTTAAAGAACTTTATGAAGTCATTCGAGAGGCGTCCTCTACTCAGCTCACTTAATTACGAAGGTTTCAATAAACACATATGGTACAGTATGGTACATAGAGGCATTAAAACTGTTCGTATGTTACCAAGATGAATATTATTTTTACGATTCCATTGACTTTAATGTCATATTATTTATATATATATAACAATAAATTCATTTGTCTTTAATTGAAATATATGTGTATCCACAGTCATAAAATGCAGAAAATATAATGGCAAAATAGCGCGCATGAACACTGAAATGCATATACCATAAGTATGTATATACTAATATATACATACATACATATAAATGTATAAATTCATAAATATGTATATTATATACGCCATTCTGCGGTGGATTTGGCTTTTAACGAGTGAATGGAAATGCACCTTGCCAGCTATATATTCTATATAGAAAAGTACATTTGTGCGTATTCACACTTGCGTGATTGCATGTGAGTATGCATATATATGTGTGTAATGCATATACAGGTATGTATATGACACATCTCAGAAAATTAGATAAGGTTAACCAGTAAACCTGCTCAAAAGTCTATGCTACTGTTTGTTAGACTGCCTAAATATAAATAACGCTTAAAATAAATATGAAGTACTTATTCTAAATTTTATGTTTAATTTCTATATTTTCTGTATAATGAAATTTATCGTTTTATACATACATATATATATTAACACATCAACATCATTTCTGTTTGGAAAATATTGCTAAGGAAAAGCCGTCATTAAACACAAACTAAACTATTTTATGATGATGAACTAGTGAAGGAAGACTAGGCTCAGACACAGTCGGGCATCCGATATGGATATCAACACATTCGGTTTAGGCGAACTAGTAGCTACCTAACTTTATACAGATATCTTGTATATTATCTGAATGTACGGTAAAAGAAGAAAAACGTTATTATCAGCTCTACTAAATCTGAAAACGCAACCGGCCACCGGATCGGTCAGTTTGTGTGGCAGTTCTAGTGGTCCGATCTGAACAATATGGAAATTGTAGTTTTGTCTTGGAAAATAATCTAGGTCAAATTGCGTGAAGATATCTTCTTAATAAAAAATTTTAACAAACAAGGAGTTACGTACATAATTTTGATCGGTCAGTAGTCTGATATCGGCGGTTCTGATAAATGAGTAGATTCTTGTGGTGAAAAACACGTGTGTAAAATTTCAAATCGTTATATCAAAAACTGAGCTAGTCCCTCAGTTCGCGTATATACAGACAGGCAGATAGGTAGACCATCCTGGCTAAATCGACTCAGCTCGTAACGCTAGTATAAATACATTATAGGGTTTCTGGGTTTCCGCCATTTTCTTCTGAGTGTTACAAACTTCGTGGCAAACTTAATAGGCATACCCTGTTCAAGGTATGAAAATCAAAGACAACGACAGAAGTAACTCCATTCCAGTTATGGAAGCCAGAAGAAATAGAAAATCGACTTTATCCACTTTTAGCACCAAATCAAGGTATTTTCATTGCAACCTATTAACCATATTTTGTGAATATATCTCACATACTGACCGATTTCACCTAATTTCGCACCACAATATGGTAAAAATTAGTGTTATCGGTAATTTGATTGATTTAACTTTAATGGCTATATGTATATACATATATACATACGTACAGTAATAAAATACATAGCGCGGGCATCTTGAAGAAGTAGTAATGATCTCATCCGTCTGAATATATTACCTCGTCAGAACGTCGAGAAACAGATGTACCTAGTTTCATTAAAATGGCCAAACGGACAGGCAGACATCCAGGTCTAGGAATCAGTTCGTCTCATTATCGTAAACATTTCGCATATATGAAAATATGAAAATTGACTACTCGCTTTTCGCTATAACTAAGATTATGCTAAACATTTTTTATAGATCGCAAACTCTGCCAGAATTACTTTTCCTGCAGGGCAGATATGTACGAGTATACTCATATATATTCGAGTATTATAATATAATATATGGTCAGAGTGTCAGGTGTGCGTGTTGACAAAGTGAATGTTGTGGATTAAGTTTTTGATTTGTTTATTTGAGTAAAATGCGTTTAGCCTTGCGCGTCGTACTCATTCGCTGCAACAGGCTGTGGAACCGGTGCGGAGCACAAGGCACCGCCACTACTCGGCGGCCATTTAAATGCGCCAATCAGCCAACCAGCGTTTGAACACAATTGAACGTAACATAATTGCAATTGCATGCGTGGAGCTCACGCGCTCTGTGATAAAATGCTGTTTTGAATGTTGCTAGCTTCAAAGCTTTCATGCGTTCTTGGCCAGTCGTAAATACAGTATTAAATTCATATTAACGTAATCCATTTTTGCATACACTCCACGGCGTATACGTTACCCCTAGCAGAAACTAATGCCAAATGTCTGTGTGTGTGTGTATGTGTGTATGTATGAGCTTCAACTACATGTGCTAGATGAATTGTTTTTACTGTTGCATTTTATACTTTTTTTAGTTTTGCAAATATTCGTCGACTTAAATTGTGAAGGTTTGACTTTTTCATTAATTTCCATTACACAAACACGTGTTCATTTGCATGAATGAAGTTGTACGCATGTGTTAAAATACGAAACTTTGGATCCGCCTTTTCTATGTCCAGTGATTATGCGTAAGGCTAGCAAGGCCGCGAGTTCTGCGATATCTGCTTTCATTTCTGAATTTTTATCAAAAAATTTTCTTATGTTCTAATAGTGTTATGTTAAGTGCTATGGCAAATCTGCCTCAGCGTAATCAACGGCCAAGTACTGGCCGGATCAGCACAAATTGTGCACCCTATACAAGAAGCCACATTGTTCCTTCATCAGAAAGATGATCCGACTCATTCAGCTTGTGATACGACCGAGAAATTGAAGCAATTAGGCTCTACACGAGGATGACTATTATTTCAAGGAATAACGCCAGAAAAAAACTTGCTTTCATTGTTACGCCAAGGACTTTTCAGCACATTTGTATTCCCTTCCAGAATAGAGAGTGGTACAGAAAAGCAAAAGGTGAATGAATTCGGAAAGATTTTTTAATTTTATACTACAAAAATTGTTACTCCCAAAAGGAAACGTCAGATACCCTATAAAGTATATATTTAAAAGATCAGCGTGACCAGCTGGGTCGATTTAGCTATGTCTGGCTGTCCGTCTATCCATCCGTCCGTTTTAATATACGAGATGTATTCAAAAAATAACGGGAATTTTCGATTTTTGTAAAAAAAATTTATTCGTTTGTCTAAATTAATGTTGTCACCTTCAAACTAGTCCCCATCCGATATTATGCACTTATGCTAGCGCTTCTTCCAAACCCTTCTCAAACTCGATTTTTGATATAGCCTTTAGCTCTTTCAGTGATAAGCTTTTAATATCATCTATGCTTGTGTGAAGGTGTGAAGGTTATCATAGCTTCAGAGGATTTTTTTTTGTTTTTATTAAGTTCGAGTTTAAGTTAAAAGTACTCCTAACAATTACGATAATTTGAACATAGTTCAAACAGACACATTCAAGATCTATTGTAAAATAAAGTATGTTGCAGTATTGCAAAATAAAACGCTATACATCCTATGAAAAAGAGTTGCTTGCATATTCATATTTAAACATTTCAGTAAATTTTCAAATTCATCTACATTCACTAGTTGATCGTTCAATGGCATAATGTGGGTCATGAAACCATTATTACTTTGCAGTAAATCATTAATAAAAGAAACGAATGCGTATGCATTTCTACTTAAACCCTGAAAACGCAACGGGTAATCCTTTCAAGTGGCACGAATTAACAGTTGATGGCAAAGACCAAATTATGACATATCATATTTGCATAAGGCCGCCGTTATATTTTATTAGACCATATAATATATTAAAAAAAAACGTACTCAATTAAGTTATGTGAAGCTGTTATGAACTCACCTGTTTTCGATTTCTGTATAAATACCTGGCTAAATGAGCTATCTATTATATTATTCCCAGCAAACATCCCTGCACACGCACCACACACCACTTCACAAGCAACACTGATAAATTCCAACACACCACAACATTACCATCCACTCCTGAAAACACCACACACCAATACATACAACTTTACACAATTCACCGAGGGATACCAACACACACCACACCTTCAACACACCCACGATCTCACCACTACCCAACGAACAAAAGGGATGGACGATTGGACACGGGCCCTTTTTACGATCGATCGCCGTCGTATACGCTTCAGCTGAGTCCTGTTGTGCGCCAACCCGGATATCTATATTTTCATCTCGTTTTTCAAATCATTTTTAAACAACTTTATAGTTTGAAAGACTAAATAAAATTGCAAGTTAGAAAAGCCTTTATAGCCATATTTGTTCTGTTTCATTTCGGGAGCGTGTGAAAGTGGTGAGTGTTGTGGTGCACTTTAGTACTAAACTATTTAATACCCAAATAATATATTGTAAAAAATCAGTTTTCAGTTCAAAAATAGTTAAAATTGCAGAAATACTCTTGTGCTCATATTTCTCAACGTCTTTAGCACAAGTTGTAAACACTTTAAATGCCAATCAACTGGCAGGTGTACCATATATATGCATAACAAGCCTAGCGAGTTCTGCTATATCTGATGGTACTTAAAAATGATTTGTGAACAAATTTATTACACTAGTCAACATTATAATTTATTTCAAGAGTTTTTAGGCGGTAAAAAAGCAAAGCTATTATAATACTTTCTACACCTCCTCATATTGATATTTACGGGGATTCCGACAAATGAGCAGCTTTGATAGAAAAAGACGTGTACAATATTTGATATCGATATCTCAAAAATTGAGGGAATAGTTCGCGTATATACAGACAGTCAGACAGACGAACATGGCTAAATCGACTCAGCTTTTCAAGCTCATCTTTTATATTAATACTTTGTAGTGCCGCCGACATTTCCTTCTGATGGTTACAAACTTTGTGGCAAACTTAATAAACACTTTTCAGGGTATATTGAATAAAGTTTCTTTTTACACCATACCCCTACTTGAATACCCATCGAAAATAAAGAAGTTTCGTACTAAAAGTTCATTTTTTTCTAAAATTGGGTTGCCCAGTTTGATAAATTTTTGCCAAAGCTATATCTAACGCAGTTCAGTACACAGTGTTATCTGCGCCAATATAGTCATAAATACGATACATACATACATACATACAATATGTATATATGTAAACATGCGATAATTAACAACTCTAAAACACATTCGTTCGATTGTTTTGAAAATCTATATTTGTTGTTTTGTTTAAATAGACACACACCAAAATCCAACCTGCCGTTTAACGAAGCTCTTTGAGTTAACGTCCGCATGTGGCGCTTGAAATTTAAATTCGAACACTTCAAACAAGTGGCGGAATTCGGTATACGCAAAATCAAAAATTCAACAGAACGGCGGGGCGAATAAACAACTCAACGGAATGAGATGCCGAAAACGCCGAAATGGAATAAACGACGCTAAGATGCGGTGAAACGCGATCAGATGGGATTAGTAAAATTCCAGCAGTATTGCGGCGTCAATAATGGAAACAATACCTGCAATCACATATACATGCTCGTAATAATCATGACCAATTCTGTATAACAGCTACGACTGCACGGATTTATTTTAACAATATCTACTTAAAGTACGACTAAAAAGTTTTTGTTACTGTTATTATTATAAAATTTTATTTTGAATAGTGCACAAAATAAGTTTGCGTCTTTTTCAAATCAATAAAAAAACAAAGTTCAACGACATTTGATTTCGCTCGGTTAGAGGCGACGGCAACGACCCGAACGTACCAAACACCGTCCGTCCGATGCTGTCTGTCAAAAGCACGGGTGTGCAGGTATGTATATTTGTATGTGCTTCAAGCCGCTACGTTGCATTGAGTGAACGTAGAAGCTAAGAGCAGGGCTGAGGCATGCTGACCTTCATTCGACAACTCAACACAGGCATTTCTGGTTTCCTCTTTTGTACTTTGTTTGTTTATCTTTTTTGCTGTTTATTAATTAAGCCTTTTTACATTGTATTCTGAATATTTTGATATCATGTTTTGTGATTTCTATTTTTACATATCTCTTGGCTGGAGGTGCAGAGCTACGAAATTGGCTGCGATTTAGCTCTTGGTGCTGCGTGCTTCGAGAGAATAAACAGTTGTAGATGTTTTTTTTTAGCATAAAAACTAAAAGCGAAAGTGTAAATGTGCCGCCTTTCGTTAACACTGCCCACCAGACCATACCGGAAATACACACGCAAACACATTAGCGTATGGCAAAACGAACGCACACTTGCAGGTATACAAGTTTGCCAATGTATTGGTGTGCACATGTGGGGACTATGCAAATACAGGGTGTGGTTTATTTGTCGCTAATCACGATTTTTCAATTTCTTAAAAAGTTATTGGACTATATTGTTTTCGATCCTACTTGTGAATTTTAGATCTCCTTTCATTGTTATTTTAAGTTATTTAGAATTATTTTTGTTTCATTATGTTCGCTTATGTAATTAATATGGTATAAAAACCTTTTCAGTTCTGTCAACACTGACAAGTGAATATATTACGGCTACGAAGTCATCGAAAACTTGCCTCGTGGGAGTCGTCCATCCACCTCTGTTAATAATGAAAACATCGAAAATGTTGTTCACCAGAGGAATAGCAGAGGAACTCAACATCAATCAGCTATATATTGACTTAACACATTTTGGTTAATGTTTCGAAACTGAAAAACCAAAATTCATTTTCACTAAAGGACATCCCAGCCGAGGCTTATAACAAATGTATGGAAAATTAGAATAAGCGTAGACATACTTGTATTGGTTAAGGAGCCTATTTTGTTGGCGATAATAAAGTTTTATATTAAAATACGTGAATATTTTTTTTTTGGCAGTCCAGGTCAAAGTTATTTTATGATATTAATCGCGTATATTCTTCTGACTACATCAATATTCACCGATGCTAAAAATAAATGCAGAGGGGCGAATAAATGAATGGACGCAGAAATCAAGTTATATATCGTTGTATTTGAATTTCGGTGATTCTATTGAACTTTTTCACACAATGTTTAGTTTCTCCTTTTGAATATTGCAGATTGTATACATAGAAAAATTAATTGGTTCACACTCCCTGCTAAACAACATTTAAATGGAATAATTTAAATTGCCCTATCGTGTGCATAAACTTACAGCTACCTTGCTGGGCATGATTTTAATTCCACTTTGAACGCACTGCCAAAATTACCATCAGTTGACTCCGCCTAAAGTATTACGTCTTTGGCTTTCTTGTATGTAATTTACAGGTTGGTTGAAGAGTTTCTGCTTTCACCAAGAAATAGCACTACTAGCTTCAATTTTTTTTCTCAAGTTGGTACATCTGTCGTGAGAACACATGCAACGTTACAAGTCATTCTGTCAATTAATTCTTTGTTTACAAGACATTTGAAGTTGACGTGTCAGAGTATTTTTTTAATATGGAAAAAATCAAATAATATTTTTGATGATTAGATTCTTAGATTTGAAAGGTTTAAAAGCAAAGAAAATGTATGAACAATTGTTAGAAGAGTATAAGGACTTCTCACCGTTGAATTTTGGGCTGGTGAATTTAAACGTGGTCGTACTAGGCTTGAAGACGATCCACGGGAAGGACGACCAAAAACCGCAACCACACCAGAAATCATTGAGCAAGTTCATAACATTTTTAGTGAAGATCCAAGTTTGACTAAGCGTGAAATTGCCAACGCCATAGGCATCTCGCACAAACGGCTACTTCATATTTTACATGGAGAATTACATATGAAAAACTAGATCGAAAATAAATTTCTCAGCATAATTTGAAGCGTATTAAGTAGAATAAAACCTGGTTCTTCCGTCGTTTTATAACTATGGATGAGACTTGAATCTACCACCATGATGCTAAATTGAAACAAGAACGTTTACAGTGGACTGAAGCTGGTTATTCAGCTCCAAAGCAGGTGAAGTCACAACGATCAGCAGAGAAGGTTATGGCATCAGTTTTTTGGGATGCAAAAGGAATTTTAATGATTGATTACCTGCAGAAAAGTAAAACAATCACCTCTGAATATTATTGCAGCCTTTTGGATCAGCTAAATGAAAAAATTCGTGATAAAAGACTTGGTTTGTAGCAGAAAAAATTTTTAATCAAGACAATGCACCTGCTCACAAAGGTGTTTTAACATTGACAAATTTCAACGAATCAAAGAACGAAGCTTGAGCTTACACGGTATTCACCAGATTTGGCTCCCAGTGACTACGACCTGAAACAACTCCTTCGTGGAAAGCTATAGGGATGGCATAAAATTATTGGAGGATCATTGGAATAAGCGTATTAAAGTAAAGGAAGATTATATTGAATAAAAAAATATATTTCGTACCCAAAACAGTATTTTTTCATTTCGAGCGCATAAACTTTTCAACCAACGTGTATATTTTAATTTATAATTGTTTTGGTACACGATTTATGTCGATGCTCGAGGTTGCTGCCCATAGACCAAGCACTGATTTATACATTGGTTCCATCTGCTACTAAAAATGTTTACTCTATACAAAATACAGTTTGTTCTTTCAAGAAAAATGTTCAGTTAATTTAATTATGTTTGTTTATACCAGCAGCTAGTACATACTAAAATATACATAACAACTTTTATGGGACCTTTTTAAGAGTTCGAATATATATATTTTTTCTTTTTGGCAGTAACAAAGAAGTTCAATAGGTATGCGAGTTGAATGTACCTTGTTTTTTAATTTTCTGAGTTGAAGACCTAATATTCTATAAATAAGGGACGTATTAACAAGAGCTTTGACTCATAATTTACAAAAAACTTATCGCAACTATGCAACTGTGTTGGATGCAATGTAAGAAAATTATAAAAAATAAGCCGTGTGAATATTTGGTTATCAATATCACAGTATCAAATCTATTGGAAATTATATAGGGTAGACGAATTGTAGGGTCTTTAAAAGATTTGAATACATTCAGAATGATATATAAAATAAAAAGTCAGAAACGACAAGCACTAAGCAAAGGGAGATTCTGGTAGACTTATGATCATTATGTAGTAGTTTATTTTTATTTCAATATACGATGATAACCTATATAAAACCAAAAATCGATGTGAAAACCGGGGCCCGATGGTAGTGAATTGTGTGAGAAAAAATCTGCAAAACATTGTGGCAGAGCAGCCTAAGAACTCAGGACCCAGCAGGAATGGTCTCCGATCTCCACCTCTCTCTCCACTGCTCACGCGATGCGTGGCATAGCATATAATAGTTTTTTCCAATTTGTTGTCATTTGTATTTGTATTCATATTTATTTATAAGATAAAAATACGAAGCAGAAACGAAAACTGCCAATAGCAGAGTGAACGAACGTTTCGAGATATAAACAAATTTGAAATTACACAACGTCAAAAACAACAAATTGCTAAATGGTAATTTGAACGCAGCCAGAAACAATACAAAACGCCTTATCAACACCTATGCGAACAAGTAAGCGAAAATATAGAAACACAAATGAAACACGTCTAAGAATGTTTTTTTTTCAGCTGAAATTAAAAAATAATTACCACAAGCATTGGTGGGTAAAATGCAAGTCGTAACCGATACAAATATTTTCATAACCACCAAATTATTGAACAACATATGTTTAATTAGCTGTACAAGACTATTTTTAAAATTGTTATTAATTACGCAAGAAAAAATCCAACAATCAGAATTATTGCAAACAACTTCTGTGCATACTGCTAAAATATGTATATGTATGCAAGTGTATGTTGGTTTTTAAAAATTTCAAAACCAAGCATTTGCACGTAGTAGCGTTCATTACTCGGAAGTCAGCCGACAAATACATATACCTTCTTTCAAACGTACATATGGTACATACACACATATATACATAAGTATATGGAAAGAAAATAAATTGAATAATACTCATAATAAATATGTGTAGGTTAAACTTTCGATTTATGAATCAATCTTGTGATATTATATTACATTTTCAAACACAAACATATACATTTATATACATTTATATACATATGTATGTACGTACGAGCACAAGACTTTGACGGCATGAAACACGTCTGGCTGCAATTTTAATCACCTTTTTCAGAAACAAAAATATTATATAATCGACTCCATTTTGTATGAAAAATACTAAAAAAATCGAGTAGTACATCATAGACAAATGTATTTCTAAGTATGAATAAAAATTCAACCATTTACATTAAAAAATAAATATTTAAAAATTATAATTCTGATTTTCAAAATTACTTGTTTCTTTTATTTTTTTTTTTTTATTTTAAGTCATTTAGCGAAGCCAAAAGAGCTGTTAAAACAATTGTCTTGGAAGTCTATGATCAAACCTATTTGAAAAATCAAATTCTTTAAATATTGTTTTAAATAATTATTATTTGTTCACATTCAAAAACACTTATCATCTGATCAAATAAAAACTGTGCACCCAAGCCTATGATAAAATTACTAAAAAAGATTTTCCTATATATTCATAAATTTTTTTTTATATTCTTGACTTGTTTGATCTGCATATGTCGAATTCGTGTGTGTGGCACCATAAAAAAATATTAACTACGAGTTTCCTTGAAATTTTGTGTTTCAAATGGTTCAAATGGGGAATAGTTGAAAATATTGCAGAAGTCTTTTGAAGAGTCTACTTTATCACGAACACAATTATTTGAGTGGCAAAAACATTCAGTGAATATCGTGAAGTCATCGAAAACTTCTCTCATGCGAATTGGCCATCCACCTCTGTTAATGACGACAAGTTAGTTTAGCGATAAGTTTAAGAAGCAGTGCTTGAAAATCAACGTAGCTAAGGATTCTACAGTCATCAAAGGCATTATTACTGGTGGCGAGGCGTGGTTTTATGAATATAACGTTGAAACTATCCAATCTAAGGAATGACGCTCCAAAATTGAGATGAAAACGAGAAAACCAAAATACGCTGAAGGCAATGAAGGCCATACGTACGAGGCTTATAACAAGTGTATCGAAATTTGGATTAAAAGTTGGCATGCTTGTATTTTTTTGTCAGTCCAGGTCAAATTTGATCTTTGAGTTTAAAAGTCGCTTCGATATAGAAATAAATAAATGCAGCAGTGAAAAAGCCGTTACATAAAGAATCGAGTCGCAATAAATGAGTTAAATTGTATTACACTGCATTTGGTTGCCTTGTTTTATTTTAAGTGTTTACTGTTTCTAACTTATTTATTATATTCACTCCACTTTATTTAGCAGAACACACACATCCAAATTCTCGTTATTGACCCTTCAATACATTTACAAATGCAACCGCTTTTGCAAGCGCTAAAATTGGTTTGGAAACAAAAATCTTCAAAGCACCCATACACAGTAAATTAAAAAAACAAAAACCAAAAAAAAAGTATATAAAATAAATAAAAGTATAAAAATGTAAATCAATGAGAACTTCGAAATATTTATGTATAATGTTAAACAGTTAAACGGTAAACGAAAAACACCAATTACGCTGCTCGTATTTTTTTTTTTTTTTGCTCTAGCAATCTGGCACAGGCAAGTAGCAGTTCGCTAACAACCGGACGTTCAGTACGTTTTAATTGTTAGTACGCGCCGGACCCAGCGCAACAATTCGTTTCGATTCGAATATTTGTTTTAATAATATTATTTAAACAACGACAACAAAAACAACACCAAGTAATTTTTGTGCTGAATGTGTGTACAAATCGGCGCGCCAACGCATTTAATATACAATATATTTATTATTATTCACCTTGCACGATTGAGTTAATACGAACAGCGCAGGCGCATGCGCACCAATGTTATGCGATTGCTAACGAACGCGGCAACGATACG